GTTTTGACTAAAAATGGTATATTTGTTGGGAAAGGCTATGCATGTGATGGCATGTACAAGTTGAATATTGATATGAATAAAGTTCCTTCAAGTTCTATTTATATGATTTCTAATATTGTTTGGCATGCTCGTTTATGTCATATTAATAATAAATATATAAAAAATATGAGTAATCTTGGATTAATACCCAAAGTAAATAATGATTTTGAAAAATGTGAATCTTGTGGTTTGACTAAAATCACTAAAAAACTTTTTAAAAGTGTTGAAAGAAAAACTGATTTATTAGAATTAATACATAATGATATTTGTGAATTTGAGGGAGTTTTAACACGTGGTGGTCATAGGTATTTTATTACTTTTATTGATGATTTTTCAAAATATACTTATATTTATTTGATTAAGCATAAAAGTGATGCTTTTGAAAATTTTCAAATCTTTTTAAATGAGGTTGAAAACCAATTTGGAATGAAGATTAAAAGGTTTAGAAGTGATAGAGGTGGTGAGTATGATTCAAATGAGTTTAACAAATTCATACAATCTTTGGGTATTATTCATGAGACTAATCCTCCATATTCACCTTCTTCTAATGGTGTAGCTGAACGTAAAAATCGTACTTTAATTGATTTGACTAATGCTATGCTTGTTAGTTCATGTGCACCATCTAATTTGTGGGGTAAAGCTGTTTTGACTACATGTTATATGTTAAATCGTATTCCTAATAAGAAGACTAACCTGACTTCTTTTGAGTTGTGGAGAGGCTATAAGCCAAATCTTAGCTATCTCAAAGCTCGGGGATGCTTGGCTTATGTAAGATTGACAGATCCAAAAAGACCAAAGTTGGGTGCAAAAGCTGCGACATGTGTATTTATTGGGTACGCAACTACAAGTAAGGCTTATAGATTCCTTGATCTTGATTCTAATGTTGCTATTGAATCTGTGGATGCTATATTTCATGAAGATAAATTTCCTTTTAAACTTAAGAAGGATGGAAGTCATGATTTTACAAAACAAAATGATTTTGAACCTAGTTCCTCAATTTCATCTCATTTTCAAAACCAAGAGGACATGGATTTTGAACCTAAGAGAAGTAAAAGAACACGTAAAGAAAGAGATTTTGGTTCAGATTATTATGTATATAATGTAGATGGAGAACCATTGTCTTTTCAAGAAGCTTTAACTTCTTCTGATTCTGATTTTTGGAAAGAAGCTATCAATGATGAAATGGATTCTTTGATTTCTAATAAAACTTGGAAGTTGGTAGATTTACCTCCTGGTTGTAAAACAATAGGATGTAAATGGGTTTTGAGGAAAAAACTTAAACCAGATGGAACCATAGATAAATATAAAGCAAGGCTTGTTGCAAAAGGCTTCAAACAAAAAGAGGAACTAGACTTTTTTGATACCTTTTCACCTGTAACAAGAGTGACTTCCATTAGAGTACTTATAGCTGTAGCCGCCGTTCACAACATGCTCATCCATCAAATGGATGTTAAAACGGCATTTTTAAATGGAGACTTGCATGAAGAAATTTACATGGATCAACCTGAAGGTTTTGTTGTGCCTGGCCAAGAGGACAAGGTATGTAAATTGACTAAATCTCTTTATGGTCTAAAACAAGCTCCAAAACAATGGCATGAGAAATTTGATACTTGCTTGATAGAAAATGGTTTTAAATCAAGTGAAAGTGATAAATGCATATATTTTGGATTCTTCAATAATTATCATGTTATTATATGTTTGTATGTTGATGATCTCTTGATTTTTGGTTCAAACTTAGAGGTGATTAACACTACTAAGTCATTGTTAAATAAGCATTTTGACATGAAGGATTTGGGTAAGACTAATGTAATTCTTGGCATGAAAATAACTAGAAATTATGATGGAATCTTTCTTGATCAATGCCATTATATAGAAAAAATTTTGAAGAAATATAACTATCATAATTCTAGACATGTTATGACGCCTTTATCACCTAGTATGCATTTGTATCCCACTTTACATGATAGAGATATTCTCAATCAAAAGGAATATGATAGTATCATTGGTAGTTTACGGTATCTTACTGATTGCACTAGACCTAATATTTCTTATGCAGTTGGAATGTTAGGGAGAATTACTAGCAAGCCTAATTCCTTTCATTGGGAGTGTATTAAACACTTAATGGGATATTTATGTGCTACCAAAAATTATGGTTTATGTTATCAAAGATACCCTGCTATACTTGAAGGATTTTGTGATGCTGATTGGAACACCTTGTTAGGTGATTCTTTATCT